AAAAGGGAATAGGAAATGGGTGTATCTTTTATGATTGGTTCTAGCAAACAACCAATAGGAATTTCAACCAGGCTGATTGGACAGAGGCAGCCAAAGGAGGAGCAAGGGGGCTGGGCTGAGGAAATATAAGTGCTGGCCATCAGGGCTGGAGTAGGCAGAGCTTTGGTATCCATATACCACTGTGTCTCTCATTTATTTGTCTGACAAATAAATTATTATTTTAATTTCTCTATTGCTGCGTTGAATATTTCATTCCAGCTAAGCGTTAACCACAAGCAGGGTGCTACAAATTTTGCAAGTGAACAAATGATCTAGAATCCTACAAATCCATGGCTTTGATAATTTAACTGTGTTAATACAATTAATATGAAGCTAATGCTGAAACATCAAACCAATTGTGAGGGAAGCTACCACTTGGACGCGCCACAATAAAAGTGCACCTGGTTTAGGGCCATTGAGTCTTCTGTGCACACCAACGGCTCCAGTTGTACAGACTATCTTTCGTGGAATAACATGCTTAATTTGGCAGGGACTGCCTGGAGGGTGGGAAGAGAAACATGAATGAGAAGGATATCGCTTCAGCGCAAAATGCCAGTCCAAGCTTCTTAAAGGATCACCAGCACGGACGTACCTACCACATGCTTCAAAGGAAATGAACACATGTTGTGATACACCTCCAGAGAAATTAACATTTCCAGAAACATGAAGACTGATTTCAACATTATTACCTGCAACTGTGACCTGCACAGGTGTATCAAAGAAGTCTCCTGTGATGGTGAGATCGGTTCCACCACCCAGGCTCCCTCCAGCTGGAGACACTGAAAATATTTCTGCAGAGGAAGTGAAATAATTGAAATTTAGTTCCGTTTCGATGTAGGTTAGCTAAAATAAAATAGCACAACCACGTACTGGTTTTATATCACATAGACTCTGTCTTGCACCAAAACAACCCCAATCCATGCTCAAAAGAAATTATTCACATTGGACACATTTGTTCTGAGCTGCAGGTTCTGGGAGCTTTGCAAAATTCAAACTAACTGGGAAAGGAGTAAAGTGAATAAAAGAATAATGGTTTGGGCTGCAGGACAATGGGGATCAGGTTTAAAATCTCAATCTAAAAATTAATCCCCCTTTCTCCAGCAGATACAAACACACACAAGCACACAGTGTTTTAATCATAACACAAACCCTCAGTTTCATGCTCCACAAAAGGTTTGTGCTCTCCTTCTCCTCTCTTCTTCTCCAGCAGGAGGGAAATCTAACTTTTGCTTTCATTTTCAGCTAATCACAGAAGTGTGGTTAGTGCTGAATGCGGTTAGGGCACAGATGGGCAACCATTTTTCAGCTGAAAGACCAATTTTCTCAGGGATAATCTGTCAGGAGCGGCATACCAGCAACGGGGAAAGGGAGATCTGGAGTAAAAACTGGGTAGGAGGCCCAGAACCAAAAATGAGCAAGGACAGAGTCGAGAGTGAGTGAAGCTACCCCTGTCTCCCCTGCTTCTTCTGTTTCATTATCCTTTTCTACACAAATAATTACAGCAGATTTGTAGACTGAACTGGCAGTGGGATTAATTCCAGAATCCTCTTCAATGAAAGACGGCAGGGCAATATACCTGAGAATGTCTGGTACAGGAAAAGGTCCTGTTTTGCGCTGATAAGCCAAGTATCCTTGTTCACCACTGACCTGCAACACAAAAGCGAGTGAGTGAACAGCAACACTAATACAGAAGGAAATTAAGACTGGAATATGTAAGATATTCCAATGCAGAGTGAAAAAAGAAATGTGTGCAGAACTGCAATAAGCTAGTTGTTTGGGGAAGGCGCGTTCTCCATAAATGAGAGCGCGTGTTGCGTTGTGGGCCGCCGGGTCAGCCCTATTTGTTGCCAGGCAGGTTAATGGTTGTTGCCTGGTACTTTGATTGGATAACCGGGTTGCTGGGGCAAATTGTATGTTGCAAATTGGGTGGGTGGGACCATAGTCTTTAAATATTGGGGCACTCTGGTTTCTCTTTCTCTTTTGCAGAGTGCATCGGATCACCCGCCCGCCCATCCTCTTTTCCGGTTGACCTTGCTCTGCCTGTCATGGGGTCGTCTGCCTTGGTGCAGGGGCCTAGTAGGAATTTTGCCATTTGGCTGATTGGCTGTGCCATTTGGTTTATGCCTACTACTTAGCAATTCGTCACAACTTGTAAGGTTGCGGTTAGGCATTGGTTATAAAATGCTGGTGGTGGAGGGGTCAGGATAGGCTGTGCCTGCCCCTCCTATTGTGCTGAAGGGAATTCCGTTAGAGGAATCCTGGGGCTTGCCACGATTTCGTCCAATCCCTGTCATGGGACCAGGGCTGGCAAGCCTTGGGGAGCTGCTGGGGTGAGCGGCGTGGATCTGACGCTTAGCTCAAATGATCCCCAATTTTGACTTTCCCTTCTACTGGCTTCCGATCGGACCTCGGTATATCAGTTCTGTCCCAGGCGGGGGGACAGATAGTCATAACCAATTCTAAACAACCACTCACTGATTTTGTATTTTAATAAAGTTGTGGCCAAAATAGTGCCCAAAAACCAAAACTAAAATTACGTGTTATGTGTGAAATTATTTGAGGGGTGGCCTGGGGACCTACACATGCAACGCTTTCATCACTCACCCCATATGTCATGGGAATCTGCTGCATTATTGACCTCCAGAGGGCAAACTTGGTTATTCATTCATTCACTCATGAATTGCTTCCCATGAAATATCCTGAAGCTATTTAACAATAAGAGCATCAACGCTAGACTATATATAACACTGAGGCAAAAATCTCGCCTTTGAAGGATTGTTGGAAAAGGTCTTCCATAGGTGACAAAAAGGCAATTGTGGCAGTGTCTACATGATACAAAATGGGAGGTTATGTGCCACCACACTATAAGTCCAATTCCTACATCCTATGGAACGGACTTCCTGATGAGATAGAATCTGCTGGAAGATCAACTAGGTGAGACTTGTCTTTAAGCTTACACTGCTAAAATTGAGCTTATACTCAATGTATGTGTTAAAATAATTTGTTCTCCTTGCTCCCCCTTCCAAAAATTGATCTTGCTGAAACTCCAGATGAAAAATAAAATAGTGGATTTCTGTCTTGATATGGTTCCAGAATCCACCAAGCTGAAACCAACTAGAAAGGGGCAAGCCACCTGTGACTCATGTTAAGACTGGCTCATATACAAGCTGAGTGATTCCCACCATGACTGAGCCATCCCCACCACACAGAGAGAGAGAGAGAGATCAGAACATAGCATCCCAACCATGTACAGATGGCAATTCCATGCAGCCACAACACGGGACTCTCCTGGCCATGCAAAATCAGTGACAACCCAGGGATCAGGAAAACGCAGGACACCATTGACACCATTTCTGGCTTTCAAAGGCTACTCTCACAAGTCCAGGAAAAAAAACCCTCCCACCTGTGCACAGCTAGCTCTTTGCAGTGAGGGAGATTGAGGCATTAAATTATATTTGGCTGCTGAAGACTTTGCAGCCAAGCCCTGCACAGCCCAATGTGTCCCCTGGAAGGGATGCCCCTGAACTTCAAAAGGCATCTTTGCAGCTAGAGGTTGGCTACAGCTTTGAAAGACGTTGGTGCAAGTTTTCAAAGACAGGTGACTGTTTGCCTCCTACCAGCTGATTTTAGAATTTTAGCATCTTTAAATCTTCCTGTTGAAATGAATGGATACACTGTTTTCCAGGGATTTCAGTGGGAAGATTTAATGACATTGCAGCTCCCCAAACATCTCATAGGGAAGAAGCACCAGTCCACCTGTGGAAAAGAAGCTCTTGTCCCACCTCCTCAGTGATGAATTGTTAGTTCTCCTCCACTTGCCATTCGGGGGCTGGGTGGGAAAAGCCAGGTACAATTTGGGACTTTCTAGTGCTCATCTGTACCTTGAGGTGAGCATCAACAAGCTCTCAGAGCATATTTTCAGACCCAGACACAGGAAACATCACTGACACCTTGAATGCCATCTTCTGAATACAACCACTTTCCAAAGCAGAAGCTATATGTGTATTTAAATAGTATTTAAATGAAAAATAAGGCATTCAGAAACACAACATAACTATAAAATTAGCCATTTTTTTAAAAAAAACAACTTATCCCTTACTTACTTTCCTTTGTTAAACACCGTAAAGCTAACATTATGTGACCCTGTAAGAAGAGAAAAAGCACACATCTCAATGCAAGAATGTGAATCATTTCATGTACATACAGAGTTAACTAACGTGCCTCACTTGCTCTGAAATGCCCATGTCTTTTGCACCCAGTTCAGAAACATCATCAGACACCTGACAAGCTGCTGTTTCTTCTCCATTCCCCACCCCCCCCAAACCACACCTCGTGCTTCTTGGGAGGAACAACTCTTGCTAGGAGTGCCTGTTCTCTATGGCTTCAGCAAGGCATTCACTGTGATACACTTGTTGCTTACAGTTGGTCTATCATGGTTGCCAAAAGTGTGAGCTGGGGAAAAATGCCCCAAGTAGCAAGAACAAAGAGAAAAGTAATTTGTAAACAGCTCTCCCCTTTTCGAAAAGAGAATGGCCATACGGCCCATAACCCCAACAGTAGCCTTTTTTATATTAGCCCTCTTGATTTTTATGTTACTGAATAAAATCAAGATTGCATGTTATTTCCCTGCTTTCCACTGACCAATATGGTTCCCTTCCACTCGGCATGCTACAGTTCCCAGACCGTGATCGACTTGAATGGGATATCTGCAAACAAAGGAAGATAAAATACAATGAACCATGAAGATGCAATAGAGGCAAAGGAAAGGAGATAGAACATATTATGTGAAGCTGAGCTGAGTACTGTTCATTTACTTCAAAGACAGCAAAGGACTGAATGTGTTCTGCCACATCCAAACCCATCACATCAAATGCTCAGCAAGTGATGTCTGAGCATGCACTGAGAAATTTAGTTTTGGCTGCCCTGTTAATTTTGTGTCCCACTCTCCAATTTGTCCCCATGCAGTGGTAATAGGATATCGAGAAACAAATACTATTTTGTGAATGAATGTACATTCCTTAGGTTCTAAAGGCCACAGTATATTTTTGATTTTTAGTGCTCCCCATCAAAATGCTTTAAATATAAACATGTAGTCTAGGGACACAACGTAGCTTCAGCACATGAACTCTGACAACAAATATTGATTCACCTGCTTTAAATCTAATAAAGACAACAACTGGGAGAACTATCTGTCCATTTTTTGTGTGTTTTAGAAGCATTTGCAGCAGCTCAGGAACTGGGCCTCTAATGAAGAACTGAGATTACTGCATCTCAGACTTGGATCATCCACCCATGAAATTGGGAGGGGTGGAAGTCACCTTGAATAGGGACAGGGAGTCCAAATATGGGCACTGAATCAGCTCTAAGTTATTCTGCCAGAGGGCATAACTAGAAAAAAAACTTTTAAATTGTATAATAAAGTTAATACTGGACCTGTTTTCTTTTGTTTTAAAGCCAGAAAAGTCACAGCCTAGCCTTGGAACTTTTAAATAATGATTCATTAAAATACCTAACAGGCCAGCTTCACTGTCTTCTTGTTTCAAAACAAAGGTCTTTACATCAAAAAGCAGCAGGAGAGGGCTTGATCGATTGACCTCATTGTGTTTGAATTATTGCATGATGCGATACCACTAACAACCTCACTCCTCTCAAGGACATACATATACTCAGATACTACAACCAAAGCAGAGTTCACAGGAACCATCATTCAGAACCCAAACCATGCTTTGAGTTTCTAACTGCACAGCTAAACAATGATTTCGACTTCCTAATCTGCTTTCACTTTCTACCTTCTCAGTGGTCTATTCTGGAGGCAACTGCAACCGTGGCAGTAACAGAGTTACTGTGACACTAATCCAACACTACAAATTGTGACAGCAGGGACCCCTTCTAAACCAAGGATAGGCACTTCTCCATTTAGTTAGGCATTCAGTACTTCCCCGGCTGCCATGCTCTTGCATCCACACCTTTGTAAGGCAGGAGGATGGGGGCAGAACAACTCGGCCCCTCCCACGTGACCTTCTTGGTCCCACACGAGAGACTTTATTGTCCCCCTTGGACACAGGCTGCCCCACCAAGCCCAGGGGCTACCAGCTGCCACAGACTGGCTGATATTCTTGCTGTCACCATGGCAGCAGCAGAAAAGAAAAGAAAAATACTGTGTGGCCACAATGAATGGCTGCATGGGAAGAGCATGAGTCAGGTAGTGGGGGCCCTTGACTCTGGTGCTGGTCTTGCACACATATAAGCAAGCACTCACACACATATTTAAATGAAGGTACATGTGAGAAAACGAAGGGTGAATGCACAAAAAGGGTATCACACACACAAATTTGCATCCATGAATTCAGACAGAAAACTGCTTGTATATAGAAATAATCATTTGGACCAATTTTGTAGCTGAGGGTAGGGATGGAAGGACAGAGATTATATTTCATTGGCATCAAAACTATTAGTGTGCCTTCCCTAATTTATAGGAGCCCCAAATATCCTGCACCATTATAAGCTTTGTGAATCCTCACAGCAAAAAAGCATTGGAATCAAAGCTGTGAGGAGCAACTTACATGCTGCGCATCTGCTTATTGGCAAGGGAACAAATGGTTATCCATCCATCTCTTTCTGCCTCGAGGATAACAGGGCTGGGGCAGAGAGAGGGAAGAAGCAATGTTAGTTCAAGGCAACCCATAATAATGCAAGTCCACAATACATTTCTCTCCCCCATGCACAGTAACAATCCAAATGTATTATTTAATTATAGCCAGGGTTGGGACAGGGGCAGGCTTTGGAAATCTTTCGTAATATGGCAACCCCAAATGGATCTTCTCAATTTTGGGTCTTCTCAATTTTGAGCTTCCTTGGCTCAGTGCCCTGTGCAGAGGATCCATTCACACCACCCTACATCCAACACTGGTTGGGGTGCGGGGCCTGTGGGGCTGCTCATGTTCTTGGAGTGCATCTCCCACCATGGCTGACCATTGGCCATTCTGGCTGGGGCTGGGCATGTTAGAGTCCAGCAACTGGAGGGCTACAGTTCCCCATCCTGGAAATGCAAAGGGAATAACCCTATATCGAGTTGCACAGAGGAACTGAAGGAAGCAATAAACACACTTACCCATCAATAAAATCTGTGTTAAAGCTGTAGGCATCAAATTCTTGGGCCAGGATAAGACCATAGACTTGCATTACATTTCCTAACAGGATAAGGATGGGGGTGGGGGAATTATTTAAAAGGCAAAATGAAAATCTGTGTAGAGGAAGATGGGGAGTTGGGTTTTACTGCCTTGATTTCTTCAGTGCAGTAGAAGATGCCCTCTGTAAGTATTACAAATCTAAAAATTATAAGCAAGAATCATAATTAATAATACATAGATAACAAATTCTCCATGGCTGGTGTTAAGAGGAGTCAAAATTGTACTATTTTTATGTGGTATTTGTTAACATTAAAACAAAAGAGGTCAATACATTAGTCAGCATTATCCTGTATCTTATTTCAGGTCAGCATTATAACATTATATATAATTTTAAAGTTAACTCAGGGTTGCAGCATTATAATATTAACCTAAACTGCTTCTTAATATTATTGCCTTAATTGCTGTAATGAGCCTAACTAATGTTAATGACTTCGAAATAGCTTGGAAACACAATTGAGGATATAGCATGTAGGCTTATGCGAATTTTAAAAATAATGGGGATCGGAAGGTCAGAAAATCGTAATAATAGCCTGAAATAAGATACAGGAAAACACTGTTCATTGTTCTTTCTGGTATCTGCCATATTCCCTTATCTTATGCTCCTTTTTGTGTATAGGACTCATCAGCCTGGGAATGTAGACCATCCAAAGAGAAGGAAGACTCTTAAAAGCTCTTGACAAGTAAATCATAAATAAGTTGTTTTCCCCATCAATTGTATAAATAAAGACATGCGGTCTCCACGTTAAGGTCCATCCTTTACCTGGGACTCCATAGGGGGGGTCCACACGATACACCACAGGAGTGTGTGCAACAGAGAACTGTTAAGAAAAGAATATATATTATATTACATTGCCTTTCACAAAACTATTGTTTCATTCACAGTTTTGGAGAGAGAGACATCAGCGTACTCTTGCCATGTAGTAGGAATACTCCACTTATGTTGATGGTTGTCTGTACTCTGCCATTTTTGAAGAAGGGCAGAAAAATCACAGAATTAAGTATTAAGCCAGGGGTCAGCAAACTTTTTCAGCAGAGGGCCGGTCCAATGTCCCTCAGACCTTGTGGGGGGCCAGACTATATTTTGGAAAAAAATAATGAACGAATTCCTATGCCCCACTGTGGCGTTTGCCTCCTAGGTGGGTCATAAGGAAAGGGTTAAAGGAGTGTGATGTGATTGGCCAGTGAGAATGCAAGGGAGGAGTAAAAATTAGAGTGGGAGGTTCTGAAAGTCAGTTGAGGTTTGGGAATTGGAGAAGGAAGAGGGAGGAATAGGCAGTGGGTTGGTCGAGTTGTATTGTGAGAGAGTGAGAGGAATTGTCAGGTGGAGTTAGATAGATAGTTGGAATAATCAGATTAAAGTTGTTAAGAACAGATAGGTCAGTAAGAAACTAAGATTAAGAAACTGCCAAGAAAAATTAACTGAAACCATAAGCTTGTTCCTGCATTTAAAAATAAACTTGATTATTTGTTAATGTTAACATCTGTCTGGACTCCGTGTGTCCCCGTGAGAAACGGGGTGGTGGCAGCGAAGAAAGCAATCTCAATGGTGGCACAGGTTCAAGAGCCCGTCAAACATCCGGGGGCCCTGTGTGATCGCCACACCCACAAATAACCCAGAGATGTATTTTAAATAAAAGGACACATTCTACTCATGTAAAAACATGCTGATTCCCAGACCGTCCACAGGGCAGATTTAGACGCCGTTTGGGCCGGATCCAGCCCCCAGGCCTTAGTTTGCCTACCCATGTATTAAGCTAATTTATTACGGATTGCTGAGCCAGACCAGAGTCTGGTGATGCAGTGCCTCAGAATTCCACCAGAGGGCTGTGGCCTTTCTCTGATTGGCTACCAAGGCAGCCAGCTGGTGAGGGGTGGAGCCTGATTTGATACCCTAAGACAGGATTCCTCAACCTTGGCCCTCCAGATGTTTTGAGACTACAATTCCCATCATCCCTGACCACTGGTCCTGCTAGCTAGGGATCATGGGAGTTGCAGACATCTGGAGCGCCGCAGTTGCTGAAGCCTGCCCTAAGGAATTCTGCAAAATACTGTACAATCCTAACATTTTTTCAGGCTGCTTTTTCAGTGCCACATCGTTTAGACATTAGATATTTTTCTAGTTTTGAATATTTTGAATGAATTTTTGGTTAGTGAATAAAATCCTGTCTCTTTCCCAAACCTAACTTCATCCAGTCACTTTGCATTCTGATACTTACTGGTATTAAAAGCAATTCAAATATTCTCACCTTTCTCAAATATCCAATATATTCATCTCCTGTTTTTCAATTATCTATGGTCCACAATTATAATAAATTATTCTTGAAATATGTATCAGTGACCTGTTTGTTAAATGTTATAAGTGACATTCGTTCCCACAAATCCTCTGGGAAGAAGCCAGTGAAGGAGCCATGGCACGACCAGAACACATTTCGGCTTTTAATTGCCCCTCCTCTTTGCTTTCTCAGACACCTGACATTTTTTTGCCAGCTGGATTATAGGCAATTTCCTCTCCACAAACCCAGTAGTCACTTTTAATGTATATTACTGATACCATTAGCAATACGGCCTTTCTGTGGTGTGGAGAATGGTAAAATTATTTTGGAAGGCCACTTGTAATTGGAGCCTTAATTTACCTCTAATATCCGTAACTGCATTCAGTTCATTTTCAGGCTTTCTTTTATAACAATTTTTATTGAGAGTTTCTTTTATAACAATTTTTATTGAGAGTTTTCAACATAAGATACAATAAAAACCCAACTAATCTAAAATAAAAAAGAAAGAAAAGAATAATAGAAAACAAAGGAAGAATGAAAAAAACCCAATGTGTATATATAATATTAAGCCCTCTATCACTATACCTTGATCCTTATTCCACACACAGAAGACTGAACCCTCCCAGCTCCAACCTTCCCCCTTTTCCCTCAGCCTCACACCCTGAGAAAACATCTCTGGCCCGCCTCTCCTGCAGGTTCCTTCATCCCCTGTCCATCACCCATCCTCATCCATTCCAAATACAAATGGCATTTTAATATTTAGCATTTTTATTATTTTTGTTCCTAAAGTTAACCTGCAAAGATACTGGAAAGACTGATGTCTATCAGTGGTGTATAGAAAATGCTGTTTGTAGCTGAACAGCGTAGATGATGATTTCAGGAGTTAGTCACTTGATTAAAATAACCCTTCTCTAACTACAGAGTTGCAAATAAAACGTTTTAAATGTGTTGTAAAGTGCAATATACAAATGTGACACTAGATGGCGAAAGTGAGTTATGCAAAATTCAATGTATTTTTCAAAACTTTTTTTAAAGTTTTTTTTTTCCCACAGAATTTTTTATATGTGTGTAGATTCCACCAAGGGTCGTCTCTGCCCCCAGGTCAGTCAAGTGCAGTGGTAGGGTGGCAATGGGTAGGGCTGGGTGAGGCGGAGCTGCTTGTTGATGCTGCCAGTGCTGGGTCTGGTGGCAGCCTGGGCCTGACTCTGCAAGGCGCAGCGTGCAATCCACCCCAGCGCCTAGCGGATCAGGCCCTTTGGATGTTGTCAAGGGGCACAGGGCCTGCCGGCAGTGTCGACCTAGCTCTGCAAGTTGCGAGGTGAAGTCCACCCCAGCGCCTAGCCGAGTGGGGGCGTCTGGTGCTGCTGACTTGCATCTAGTAAATAACTGTCTACTCAGAAGAAAGTTGCACTGAATTCAGTGGGCCTTACTCCTACGTAAGGGTGCAGGGGGCTATAGTGTTTCATCTAGGCAGCCAGGGCTCCTCCGGATAACAAAATCTTTTTGCACCAGATCAGTGAGGACAACTTGCTTTTTAAAATTCTCCCATATATACAGAACTCCTTGTGTGCCTTTTGGACTGTATCTGTAGGTTTCCTCCTCTGTGTCAAATCACTGGGGTCAAGTAAGTGTTGCTTACTTTTTACTATGGAAGATGAATCTTCCTCAGGAGGTTCTGGACTCTCCTTTGGAGGCTTCTAAGCAGAGGTTGAGTGGCCATCTGTCATGGATGCTTTGGCAAAGTTTCCTACACAGCAGGGGTTTGCACTAGGAAGATGATTCTACGTTCTGCTGCTTCAACAATATTTCATTATGTTCCTATCATTTTATGTAATTGTATTTTGTATAATTTATAAAAATTATAAATAAAACTTATTCTATTTACTAAGAAAACATTTCTACCAGTAGGACAGGAGGGGGCATAGGCGTAGCCAGGATTTTTGTTAAGGGGGGCAGAATTTGCATTGATTTTGATTCTACGTTTTGCTGCTTCAGCAATATTTCATTGTGTTCCTATGATTTTATGTAATTGTAGTTTGCATAATTTATAAAAATTATAAATAGGACAGGAGGGGGCATAGGTGTAGCCAGGATTTTGTTAAGGGGGGGCAGAATTTGCATTGATTTTTATTTGGGGGGGGGCAGCTGTCCCCTGCCTCCCTTGGCTATGCCCATGAGGGGGCACAGGAAGGAAACAAGGTCGGAAACGGGCCATGGTCAGAATAAGGTAGGGAAAGACTGGTTTAAAACGCACACTTGTTGGTGAAACAAACCAACTTCATAACCCATGGATTTAAGAAGGTTTGCTGTGAAACTGACCAGAGTTTGTTTTATAGCTTGATCTCTGGTTCATTCACCACACTAAACAGAGATTCTGTGAAGGCTACAGGTTTCACAAGAGGAAGAGTGGCAGAGAGAGAGAATGAGACTGAAGTTTCATTTTGGTTCACTGCAACTCATGCACATAGCGCTAAACCATAGTTTAGCATTATACCAAATGTAGCTGGTGGCATCTCTACACTGACAACATGAAAGCAATGGCTTGTGGACTCTCACTCCTTGGAGGTTTTGAAGCAGAAGTTGGATAGCCCTCTGCCATGGTCGCTTTAGCCGAGATTCCTGCATTACAGGGCCTTGGACTAGATGACCCCTGGGTCCCTTCCAGCTCTAGAATTCTATCATTCTAGATACAAAGGGATGACACAAACAGTTGCGAGATTCTTTACAAATAAGAATTGAAAAGCAGGCTTTCCGTAAGCTTCCATGATCTAGCACAACAGAACTGCCTTCCTTTACAGACTCTGCCCCTTGCACTTCTCCCGCTAAGAGGAAGGTGAAGCAATCGGAATACTTAATGAATCTTCTCCTCTTCATGCTGATCATCAGAGACATGAGGTCAGCCTCTGACTGCGCTACTGGGCAAAAGCTGTGGGGAAGCAGAGGAGGAAGCGTGAGGAGAGGAAGACAGTGGCCGCCAGCTGCTTGGAATACCTTCCGCAGGTTTCTCCAAACCTGTCACAGCCAGCAGCTGTCTACGTTTTTACAACTACCACAGAGAGAGAAAATTAATTTTTAATGTGCATGGCTCACAGGTTCTCGTGCCCCCAAACAAAGAGGCAGTGTGTGTTTTATTTCGCTTGGAATGTGTCTCATTAACTGCATCCCCTGGTGGTTTTTCATCAGCTCTCTAAGCTAGCTGAACTCCCAAACAACACCTTAGCTTTAATGTGCAATTTGCTGAAACATGGGACTCCTCATGCTCGATGCCGCAGAAAACCCTTGGTTGCACTTGTACACGACATGGTAAAAGTTCTGGCTCATTGGCAAGCAGAGACAGCTGAGTGAGCTCAGTGAGCAAAAGGCAAGCTTATTCTCTATTCCCAAACCACACATATCTCACCAGCCTTAGTGCCATTCATGCTGATGTTGCAGTGACAGAAAGCTCATATGCACAGCCAGTTTACCAAATATTATTCCACACAGCACTACCGCAAGTACAGAGAAATCTTCAGTAGCTCTTGGCAGGATGACCCACAGAGAACATAGAGACAAGCAAACTGCTCTTGTCCCAGGGAATTGAGGTCATTTGTATCAACTTAGCAAGCAGCAGGGGCGATTTTATAATTCACGTCCAGATATGTAGTAAGACTGGTTGCCTGTTTCAGTCTGATGAAACCACAAGAGATGGGTGCTCTGGGCATCTTTGACTGGTCTTACGAATGTTGTGGTTGTGCCATGGCAAATGCTCAGAAGTGTATGCTCCCGAGTTAAAGTTCCATTGAAAATAAGTCCCGGCTGTCACTAAGCCTGCATGCGGCCCTAATCACATGTTACACGCCAACAAACATATCGACATGGAGGAGTATCAAAAAGATACTTTTGTTCTCACCGGGGCTAAATGAATTGTCAAGTAAAGCCACTTTCGTATAAGGAGGAGGTGGGGTTGTGGGCTTCACGGCCCCTCCACGTGCGCAGGAGTTGGGGGGCCAGCCCCGCGCAATTGGGGGATTCCCGGCTGCATCACCCCCTACTGGCCAATCGGGTTGCTCCGGGGGTGTGGCCTGCCCCATAAAGGCAGGACGCAGCCAGGGATCTCCCTCTTTGTCCACCCGCCAGCTGCTCTGGTTTACCACCCTCCCGCCCTCTAAGGTTTTCTTTCTTTGACCTTGCTATGGACCTCAGTTGGTCGCCATTGAGGGGCCTGGTAGGAATTTTTTCACTTGGCAAATTGGCACCAGCCACTTGGTTTTCACCTACCTTGTAGCAAAATCGTCACAACTTTCTGAGTATTGGCATTGGAATAGTTCTGTTAGGCAATGGAAAGAGGGGAGGTAGCGCCATCACCTGCCCCGCATATTGAAGGGTAGTCCGTTAAAGGATTCCAGGGGGCGTGGCCCTGTCCGAAGCCTGGGGAGGTTAGGGCCTAAGGCACAACCCCTATTGGTGACCCCGGGGGAGCTCCTAGTTGATGTGCATCAGCAGGACTCCCCCTACTGGTGGTTAACCCTTCCCAGACTTCAAGCAGATGGGCTGGAGTCAGATATAGTCGGTTAGGTCCATTGCCTAAGCCAATACTGCTCATCACCTGTAACCAATAAAGTTGTGGCCTTTTTTAGCCCATTAACCTTAATAATTGTGTCATTATTTCTACCTGGGGGGGTCGGGAACTCACCACACAAGAAGAGTGTGATTGCATAGGCTGTATGAGAATGAACTGGGTACAGATTAAGCGTTCGCCTCCTCCTGCACCCTTTATTCATTCCAGTCCATGAGAGCAAGTTCCACTCCTATTCACAAGGTTATATCCAGTGTATGCCAAGGTTTTCTTCCTCTGCCGTGCTTGCCAATGCCTCATGCTTTGCACCATCACTTGTACTACAAAGCTTAGGTAGTCAAGGAGATAAAGGGTACGTTCAATGTGCCATTGAGCCTGGGCACCTCATAAATGCAAGGATGAGCTAGCCCTGGCTCAGAGCTAGCTCTAAATGTCTAAATTCTACACTGCATTAAAATCATTATTTCTAACAATGTATTAATGGCCCATGTCCTATGGCCTGGCTACTGGATTGCTCCTAATCACGCGTCCACCCGCTTGAATACATACCTGAAATATGCAGTTGTCACAGTGCAACTCTTTCGTGTTGTTGATAATTTGCCCATTCAGAGTGAACTGGAGTTGGTAAAGTCCTCCCCACTGCGAAGCCCTTCAATGGAAATAATAAGAGCAAAGGATAGCTAGCAAGCAGCATGAGAGGGACTGGAGTCCACCTTACTAAAATGTAAAGCTTAATATTGAATCTGAAGAAAGAAACGAGGCAGCCATGATTTCTCCCACCCAGTTCCCACCCATCTTGTCATTAACTCCCCAGCGTCTTCTGTAGGAGAAAAACACACACAAAAAATGGGTTCAGAAGAGCAGAGAAGGAAGGCCTGGAAGGAGAAGACCATGGAGAAGAAAACATGGCTGCCTCATCTCCCGGGTGCTTCACTGATAATTATATAGTCTGTGGGGAGAACCTAGGAAAGCTAATAGAGCCTGATCCTCTGCTGGGGGTGAGGGTTGCAGGAGGGGATTGCAGAATAGGACTAGGTCTGTTAAGGTAACTTCTATTTTATGCCATCTGAGAAAGCGTGTTCTCCTTCATGGAGAGCACGTGTCGCGGTGGGGGCCGCCAGGACACTCCAAAGTTGGGGGGCGGGCTAATTGATCGTTGGCCACTGATGCGATTGGGGCTTCCCTTGTTGTTGGGAAGAAGTTAATGTTGCCATTTATTGATTGACAGCCAGAAATAGTAAAACTCCTTGCACGAGGCTAGGGCTTCCTCTTTTCGCCCGTGCATCGGATTGCCCGTCCCTCCCTCCCTAGAATAGGGTTGTTCGCTTTGACCTTGCTATGCCTGTCATGGGGTCGTCTGCTTTGGAGCGGGGGCCTGGTAGGAATTTTGTCCATCTGGCTGATTGGCTGTGGCCATTTGGTTTTTGCCTACTGCGTAGCAAATCGTCACAACTTGTAAGGTTCGCGGTTAGGCATTGGTTTATGGTTTGGTTGGTTGAGGGGCATGGATTGGCTGTGCCTGCCCCTCTAGTGCTGCTGCTGCAAGGGATTCCGCTAAAGGAATTGGGAGCTAACTATTGCTTGTCCACTCTGTCAAGGGGGCTCGGGCCATAGCAATGAGCTCCTGGTTGCATTTGGGGTGAGGGCAGGTTCCCTGCTCCACGTAACCCCCAAGTGTACTCCCCCATTCTGACTTTCACATCGTGCAGAATGTCAGTCTGTCCCCCATGGTGGGGGCAGATAGTCGCAACCAATGCCTATGCAACCACTCACAAATTTGTATTTTAATAAAGTTGTGGCCAAAATTATGCCAAAAATCTTAAACAAAAACTTCTGTGTGATGTGTGAGTTATTGGGGTGGACCTGGGGACCTCGACACGCAACCAGGACTTTCTAAACTTACATAAAGTTCAGTTAACTCCACCGCCACCACTTTGCAAATTCAGGTGGTGATATAGGGTTGCCACCTTTTTTTTAGAAATAGGGCTGTGTCTTTCGCAGTTAATGGCATGTAGTCACTGAACAGGTAAAGCTTTTCCTCAATAGATGTACAGTAACACGAAAATCTTCACCTTCTGGATTGCTGCTCATTATGTGACTTAAAAGAAAAACTGCTCTCCCAGAAAAACAGTGGTGGGATATTTTTACTGGAGGGTTGGGAGTGGGGAAGAATAGTGCAGGAGACAGCTGCAAATTGCCACCCAAGTGCAGCGGGTCAAAGTTTTAACTTAGTAATAATTATCCAGAAACCCAGTCTTTAAACTTAAGCTTTTTTCTCTCTTTCTCTTCAGGGCACAGGTATGCGCCACACTTGTTAATCATTGTCGTTAACATTTTAAATTCTGATTTCCTGCTTGGCACTTGGTGAAATCCTTGTTATGGTCTGGAATATAAACTAATCCTACATTTCTTATAACTTTTCTCTTCCACATATACTTTTCCTATTAAAGTCCCTGTCTGATAAAAATTAATAAATTCGCAACCAAGCCATAAAAGCAGGGAATAGGGGGTACATGACTCTTGTTGGTGTATCTTTCTAATATAACAGCTACACTAGCGTGTCAAGCATTTTGAAGATCTAATTAGACTTGAAATGTTCTTTAAACGGAAAGACAATGACTTTTGCTTAATTAAAAACTGAGAGGTAACGAAGTATTTGTTACTGAGCGGTAACAAGACCAGTACAGTGGTACCTCGGGTTTCATACGCTTCAGGTTACATACGCTTCAGGTTACAGACTCCGCTAACCCAGAAATAGTGCTTCAGGTTAAAAACTTTGTTTCAGGATGAGAACAGAAATCGTGCTCCTGCGGCACGGTGGCAGCAGGAGGCCCCATAGGCTAAAGTGGTGCTTCACATTAAGAACAGTTTCAGGTTAAGTACGGACCTCCGGAATGAATTAAGTACTTAACCCGAGGTACCACTGTATTTAAAGCTGGTGTTTCAAGCAAAGGCTGGTGCCAAGAGGCTTGCAATAAGCCCTGAAGAACAAGTTTATTCAGGACTTTTTGAGTAAAAAATGAAATGCTGGTACTCTTATCTTAATGTGCTAAGGGTGCCAGGACAAAATGGCAGCAAAAGAAGGGGGGGGGGAAAGGTGCTGATATCAGTGAGTATGGTCACACAAAAAAGCACTGAGGTTTTATAGATATAGACAGACAGACAGATATTCTATCCTTGAAACGTGCTCATGGTAGCTGACAACAGTATAGATATATAGAAAATGAACAGTACAATCCTATGGTATATCTTCAGAAGGACTGCAACTGAAAATAATTAAAAACGGAGAAATATCACATGAAAAGAAAAAAAACCAAGAAGTGGAGTTAAAGCATAACAAAAGAGCAGGAAAAATGTTAACACCATAGCAAGACCATCCAGGGTTGCCATATTTTGAAGAGCAAAAAAAAAGGACATTTGCTGACTTCTACTTGTAACTATGGATCGCTATGACTCTACACATGAAAAAGAGGATGTGTCCTGGAAAAAGAGGACATATGGCAAGTAATCCCACAGGCCCTATAATATGTCTGTCCTTACTGGTGTCAGTCTAGCTCTAGTGGTGTAGTTTTCTGTTTTCATGGTGAATTTTTATTGTTTTTATCCTCTACAAGTCATTGGGGGGGGGTTACATTTTTACGTACACCGCTTAGAAATTCTGAAAAGTATGCTGTAAATAAATATATAAAAAATAAAACCCTGGGCAAGGACTTCTGCTTGTGCAATGGGCCTTCTCCCCTTCCTGCTGCCTCAAATTGGGGGCTGTCGGGGGCTGTCAGGAGAACCCCCAGAGCAGCATGCGGGGGGTGGGAGAGGGATCATTCTGTCTGGGAAGCCACATTGCTTGCCCTGATGGAGCAGTCGCCTTAGGACAATGTTTACTTTCTCTTCGTGCTTTGAGAAGGTCCCAGTTTGAATCGTTGGTGGCACGTTAAAAGGGGCAGGAAGCAGTGGATGAGAACCTGCCTCCGTGTTGGGTTTGGATCCCTTCCTCCATGTAGGAGACTCATTGCTTGTTGCAATAAGATACACTTCCTGAATTTATGTTCATTACATTCACTAGTAAGGTTGAAGCATGTAAGGAATGTAGGTCCATTCCCACAACCTACAAGAGCACATTGTAAACTCACATATATCAACAGAATGCTTCTCTAACATGGTTTTGGGATGGTCTGAGTCCACTGTCCCTTCTTGGACCACAGGAAATATTTTAACCAGAAGGACATATACATATATCCTGAGTAGCCAAAATGGTGCCCTCCAGATGTTAGGTGCCAAGTCCCATTAGACCCAGCCAGGGAGATGGTCAGGGATGATGGGGCCTGCAGTTCAGTATCTGGATGGCTCCAGATTGGCTAATCTGGATCTCTGCTATTGTGCTCTGCCCCCGATAATAGCACTGCAAAGAACCTTCCTTACCTTGTTTGGCATTTTGTGGTGGACAGATCAAAACTGACAGGCTGAATGTCACACAGTACTGTAGGCAGCACTGAATTCAAGAACGACACTTCTAGGTGAGACCAATTGATGGGATATGAGAGGCCTAATGGTGGGCAACCAAACAACAAGCAAACACAGCAAAATTTTAAGGCACAGAAGGTGAAACGGGATAAACACTGATCTCCTGTCTGACAATATGTGCAGGGCACAGAGGACATTGTGCATAACAGCACCATCATATATCACAATCCAGACACTTCCAAGCCCTTAATAAATTCTGTGCCTTTTCCAATTTACAATATCATTTTTGAGAAGAGGCAACTAGAACTGTGAACAGTACTCCAAGTGCTGTTATACCATAGATTAGTATGGCATTATGATATCGGCAGTTTTATTTTCAGGTTTTTTCCCTAATTATCCTTTGCATGGAATTAGCCTTTTTCACAGATCCTGCACACCAGGTCAACCCTTTCATCAAGCTGCTGGTCTCATTCCTGGTCAGACACTGCCAGTTTGAACTCCATGAACATATAGGGGAATTTAATATTTTTGGGGGCACAATGTGGATCACTTTACATACGTTTACAATGAATTTTATTTGCCTCTTGTCATGGGACATGAGGATAGATCATCTTGTGCATCACTAATGGTGAAAGAGGAGGAAGCAGAGAATAGGGGGGGAAATGGCCAGTTCTCACAATGGAAGGATATAAGAAGTGGATTCTCCTAAGGATCTGTATTGGAGCATGTGCTTTTTAACTTGCTCATAAATGACCTGGAGTTAGGGGTGAGCAGTGAAATAGCCAAGTTTGCTGTTATCAAGGTGTTCAAGGCAGTTTTGAGAGAGAGAGAGAGAGAGAGAGAGAGAGAGAGAGAGAGAGAGACCATGAGGAGCTCCAAAAGGATCTCTCCAAACTGGGCAAATTGGCCATAAAATGGCAAACACAATTTGGTGTGCACAAGTGCAAAATGATACAATCTGTGGCAAAAAATATATATATAATCTCACTTACAGGATCTGAAGTGGAAGTTACTGACCAGGAAAGAGAATTTGGGGTTGTGCTGGACAGCTCAATGAGGATGTTGACCCACAATGTGGCAGCTGTGAAACTGTGGGTTTCAAGTTAGGAATCATTAATGAAAGGGACTGAAAATAAAATTATCAATATAATAATGCCATTTTAGGAATCAACAGTGCAATTGCATTTAGAATACTTTGTTTGCAGTATTTCCCATTGTCTCTCACATAGCAGAGAATATCTTCTCTAGGATTATGTGGGCTGACACACGTGAGCAGTAATTAAAGTGTGCTTCTTGCTTTAAAACTATTGTTTTCACCCGCATGCAAATTTAATCAACAGATTAATTGATAAATTACCATTGGTTGACAAAATCACACATGATTAATCTAGTAACATTTTCTTTTAAAAATTGGGTTGAGGTGCCACAAAGAGCAGCTAGTCTTATGACTGCCCCTTTTTGTCTAGAAATACCACCAACAGTTTCTGAGGGGCCCCAGAATCTACCCTCATATCTCAGTGTGATCCAGGTTCCACCGCCAACGCTGCCTTCATTTGGCTCCATGGTTACCTTTGCCAACGTAACTATAAAAAGGAAAAAAACGACATATGCAATGAATTATGTAATGGTACAGCAAATCGCTTTTCTTCTTAAAAGAATAATCTATTTGTAAAAGCCTTTCGGAGCATGTGGATGCAGACTGAGCAGAACTGGGAGATCGTGAAAGGTTTGTGAAGATCTCTTCCTATGAAAGAGACTCCTGCGTGTTCCATACCTCCCTCTGAAAAAACAAAGCCCTGCTGGACAGAGCCTTGATGCAATGGAGGCAGCAACACTGACTGTCTTTGCGGCTCTCCCTGCCACGTGGCAGGCCTGATTAGGAACCTGAACACATGCTTGGCCAGCTCCTGGGTGAGATATGCCTCTCATAGTCCAGTCCTTGCCCAGTCCATTTCATCAACTGCAGCTCCTCAGAATAAAGGTAAAGGGACCCCTGACCATTAGGTCCAGCCGTGACCGACTCTGGGGTTGCGGTGCTCATCTCACTTTACTGGCTGAAGGAGCCGGTGTACAGCTTCTGGGTCATGTGGCCAGCGTGACTAAGCCACTTCTGGTGAACCAGAGCAGCACACGGAAATGCCGTTTACCTTCCCGCCGGAGTGGTACCTATTTATCTACTTGCACTTTGACATGCTTTCGAACTGCTAGGTTGGCAGGAGCAGGGACCGAGCAAGGGGAGCTCACCCCGTCGCAGGGATTCGAACCGCCAACCTTCTGATCAGCAAGTCCTAGGCTCTGTGGTTTAACCCACAGCACCACCCACATCCCGCTCCTCAGTATACTAAGGGGCAAAACAGACTTCACAGTGCAGGAGTACGCACTCAGGAACAATCATGCCCATGGCCTTACAAGCCTCCCCATTCCATAGTGGAACTAAGGCCTCAGCAGGATCTCTGGCTCTTTCCCCTGGGCAGGGGGTGGACCCAGAGCAGCCAGAAATCTTCCCAGCTCACATTTTTAAAAAAGAAAAATATTTATGTTGGGCTGCAGTAAGCAAAACACATACAGTGGTACCTCGGGTTACCTACGCTTCAGGTTACATACGCTTCAGGTTACAGACTCCGCTATCCCAGAAATAGTACCTCGGGTTAAGAACTTTTCTTCAGGATGAGAACAGAAATCATGCTGTGGTGGCACTGTGGCAGTGGGAGGCCCCATTAGCTAAAGTGGTCTTCAGGTTCAGAACAGTTTCAGGTTAAGAACGGACCTCCGGAACAAATTAATTACTTAACCCGAGGTACCACTGCACTGTATGCTATTGGTCACAAAAACATGCTTCAGCAAACTCAGACATACTGAGCATCCCTTGAATATGCCAGCGTATTTCCTTATTAAAGAGTATTTGATCTAGTATGATATCATAATTGCATGTGCTTCAAAAGTAATTGCAGTGGTTTACCGTATTTTTCACCCTATAGGACACACTTTTTCCCCTCCAAAAATGAAGGGGAAATGTGTGTGCATCCTATGGGGCGAATGCAGACTTTCGCTGAAGCCTGGAGAGCAAGAGGGTTGGTGCGCACCGACCCTCTGGTCTCCAGGCTTCAGGAGCATCCGCAAGCCTTGGGAGCCCGCGGGAGTTCCCACCGGGCTCCCAAGGCTTGCGGATAGCAGCCTGTTCTGGGGACTGGGGTCGGGGGAAGCTTGGGCTTCCCCCGCCCCAGCCCCGCGCCTGGGGGGAAAAGTTTTTTTCTTTATTTCCCTCCCCCCAAAACTAGGTGCGCCCCATAGGGCGAAAAATACGGTACTTCATGTTTTAGTTAACAACAAATTCTTTACTATTGCAACTGAATACATGATGAGGCAGTAAAGAAGGTCGCTAATTGGAAGCTTAGAATTTATTGTTATTATTATTATTTATTAAATTTGTATAGCAGATTGACTAAGGCAAGTTTGACTGGCCAAGCTGGTGACAGAATTTCTACAAAGCACACAGGCAAGCTCTTATCTCTTTGCCACGGTGCTGATGCTCAGTAGTGCAGCTTGATAACTCACCTCCGAAGAAAAGCAGCAAAGCCTCAAGAAAGGATGGCATCCGAAACTCCATCTCTAATCTCTTCCTCTGCTTTCGACAACAGACTTTCTCATTGAGATCACTGCCTCATTCATAATCAGAGCTCAGATGGTTGGTTCTCTCACATGTATTCACTGCAAAGGAAACATGTCTTATATGCTGTTTTTCTTTTTTAATACCTTTGGGGCAAACAGCTTGATGCCCAGAAGACATTTCAATACCAATTCAGAATCCTTCTTCGTAAGGGCATCTACAGACCAATTCAGAATTACTACATGGAACCAAAAAAAAAAACAGCCTGAAAGAAAGCTTTTGTATTATCTTAATCAGAATATATGGGAGATGATAGATGATAGATAGATAGATAGATGATGATAGATATAGATAGATAGATGATAGATAGATGATAGATAGATAGATAGATAGATAGATAGATGATAGATAGATAGATGATAGATAGATAGATAGATAGATAGATAGATGATAGATAGATAGAGATGATAGATGATACACAGACAGATAGATATCTGTTACCACATCCTTTGTATGAGTGTGTGTGTGTGTGTGTGAGAGAGAGAGAGAAGTCTACTCTGCTGGTAGATTTAACCTCCCATTTAAGGTGCTGTGTTTTGAGGCCATCTCCTGAGGGCATGGGTGCCCACCTTGCCATCCGAAGTGAGGTGTGGCAACTGGATAGGAGGCTTTTCCAGCTCCCATGCCCTGTTTGTGGAACTCTCTTCCCAAGGGGGAACACCTTTGTTATCATTCAGGGATGAGGTCCAAACATTTGTGTTCACCTAGGCTAGGGCTTGACAATCAGAAGGTCGGTGGTTCGAACCCCCGCAACAGGGTGAGCTCCCGTTGCTCGGTCCCTGCTCCTGCCAACCTAGCAGTTCAAAAGCACGTCATGTGCAAGTAGATAAATAGGTACCGCTCCAGTGGGAAGGTAAATGGTGTTTCCGTGCACTGCTCTGGTTTCGCCAGAAGCGGTTTAGTCATGCTGGCCACATGACCCGGAAGCTGTCTGTGGACAAACACCAGCTCCCTCGGCCTGAAAGCAAGATGAGCCCCGCAACTCCAGAGTCGTCTGCGACTGGACCTAACAGTCAGGGGTCCCTTTACCTTTACCCTTTACTAGACCATAAAGGAAGGCTGATCGCCGAAGAATTGATGCTTTTGAATTATGGTGCTGGAGGAGACTCTTGAGAGTCCCATGGACTGCAAGAAGATCAAACCTCTCCATTCTGAAGGAAATCAGCCCTGAGTGCTCACTGGAAGGACAGATCCTGAAGCTGAGGCTCCAATACTTTGGCCACCTCATGAGAAGAGAAGACTCCCTGGAAAAGACCCTGATGTTGGGAAAGATGGAGGGCACAAGGAGAAGGGGACGACAGAGGATGAGATGGCTGGATAATGTTCTCGAAGCTACCAGCATGAGTTTGACCAAACTGCGGGAGGCAGTGGAAGACAGGAGTGCCTGGCGTGCTCTGGTCCATGGGGTCACGAAGAGTCGGACACGACTAAACGACTAAACAACAACAACAGGCTTCAGTTATATTGGCTGATTTGAACTGAATGTTGTATTCTGCCGTTTTGTTTTAGTTTTGTTATATTATAATTACATGAATGTTAGTACCTCATATTTGGTGGGGATGCAGAGAAGGCCTTCTCAGTGGTGGTTCCTCCAGGCAACCTTGAAACTCCCTTCCTAGAGAAGCCAGTCTGACTCCCACCTTGTACTTCTGCCAGCAGATGAAGAAGACCTTGTTTTAGCAGGCTTTGGGGAACTGACTACTTTAAAGGAAAGGGCTGGTGCTGTGATGTTTTTGTTGTAATTATATAAATTGTTTTAGTAGATCATTCATATATAGAAAGAGTTTTAGTTCTTTTAATGTTTAACTGTTCTTTATTGATTGGGGGCGGGGGTTTCTCTATGTTTTTAACTGCTCTTATTTGATCTATAAGCTGACTTAAGTCCCTGTCAGGGAAAAAGGCTGGATATAAATAAATATATTGATGGGTGGGTGGATGTGTTAACAATAGGTTTTATTTTAAAGAAACATTTGGAGATGAAGTTCTATAGTTAATTTATAATTTAATTAAAAACAAACAGATCTCACAATTCAGATAGGTAGCCCTGTTGGTCTGAAGCCGTCAAAATAAAATTGTCCAGTAGCACCTCAGAGACCAACTATAAGCTTTCGTGTGCATGCACACTTCTTCAGATCTCACAATTAGGAGCGAAATCAAGTAGACCAGCTGCTTGGCTCTGCAGAACTTGCAATGTGACAAGATCCACAAAGTACCAGTTCTACACTTGTAAGAAATAATTCTTTTGTTGTGGCAGCAACTTCCTGCCCATTGACATCAAGCAGGCACCATCACGGTATTCTTTTCGGCAACCGCTTAAAGTACTTTTCTTTATGCAAGCCTATCCAGTATGTAGATATTTCAAAAGTTTCTTAATACTTAATTTCTTCTAAACCACTTCCATGTTTTGTTACAATCAAACAGTATAGACATTTTGTTAGACAAACAGACAGACAGACAGATAGACTGGTCCTCCACGAGATAGATCTGCAACAAACAAGCATTTTCTCAATATGCCAAAATCACCAGTGAGTTTATATGCTTCAAAATTCTGCTATTGCATACCTTTATAGTACTTGTTCTTCCTCCAGTTTTCTGATCCAATAATTAGACAGTGGTATACGGAGTTTCAAATTAACCATTTTCAAAGTCCTATAATTTAGTTCTGTTCCATTGTTTCAACTGGTCCTGGATGATGGGTTTTCTAAATAGCCAACAATAGCTTTTGCTTTTCCAGAAACTGGAAAAAGCTGTACTGTAACTAAAACTAGTGTGTGACCAATCTGAATGCTTGCGATAGCAGGGGTGTGAGTGATTTTTCTCGGGGCAAGCTTACTTATTAACGTAAGCTACTTATGCCATTAAGCCATCTTGCCACAAGCTTTTTTTTCATGGTGATACAGAAGTAGCTTGGGACATTTCTCTTAATCTTATTTAATAATTTTAAAGAGAGAGAAAAACGCAGTTTGAAATATACATTCTAACTTTTTTTTATTTTTCACATTTAAAAATAATATAACCAATTGTCATTTAACAGTCCTTTAGTTTTGAGGACTATTCTACATGTGAGGAACATATAGATGATTCGTAGGTTTCCGCAATCTGGTATCCTCTAGATATTTTGCTCTACAACTCCCATCATGGTTAAGGAATAATGGCAAAAGATTATAAAGGTAATTAACATATTTCTTGAAATAAAATAGAAGTTAATAGGGATTTGTTATTTTCGGGAATACTGGGAAATAACAAAGTAAAAAGTAATAAGCAAGAGTTGTACAAGATTATGATTCTAGCTGGAATGACAGTTATTGTTCTGGGATGGAAAGAAAAGGCCAAATGGAATATGGAAAAATGAAATGATTATGTTTTTGAATACGTACAATCAGAAATATTTGCACAGATAGTGGCAGAGGATAGATGGGAAAATAAACGCCAAAGAATCACAAATAAATGGGCATTTTACAGGAACTGGATAGAAAGGGGGGAAGCCAACCCTAACATACAAGCTCAAATGAACAGACCGTGTACATGGATAAAGATATGAAGAAGGAAGGCCTGATCAGGGAGGAGGGGGGAGGGGAATTATTTTTTAAAAAAGTAAACTGGATAATATTTTGAATTGATTTTGTTATGTAAGCCTTTTTCAGAAACCATATATATTAATGTTATGTAGTTATGCATTGTAGTATGCATGAATTTTGTGTTGTATTCTTTGTTTTATAGAATATATATAATAATGTTATGTTATTAAGCAAATTTAATAAAACAGGGGGGGAAATACAACTCCCATCATGTCTTCTCATGCTGGCTGGCATTAATGGGAGATGTAGTCCAACTTACCTGAAGGGCCTCAGGTTGAGGAAGGGTGATTCAATGCAGCGCTGGAGTCCCCACAACCAACAGCTCCTTGCTTGGCCATCTTACTGCTGATCCAATATGTGCAAGGCTGAGGTGAACTTTTCCACCTCTGCCCCCTAAAATGCCCCTTTGACGGACTTGAACTGTTTCCTGGACATGCTGCCCAGACTGCCCCCCTCCCCCAGAAAGATTTTGCTTGAAATGTTTGTGATTCTTTGGGCCTAGAACATCCCATAATGGAATGGGCACATTTGTATGTGATACCATAATCATGGAGATTGGTGAGGAAGAACCAGAATGCCATAATTACTAACAGGTTGTCTCGGGGATAGCTCAGTCAGTAGAGCAGGAGGCTCTTAATATCATATATATATATATATATATATATATATATATATATATATATATATAAAATTTCCCTATAAAGACAAATTTATAACATCATTAAACATCAAAAACACATCACATATCTTTTTTTCTTTTAGACTTCCATCAACATGTCTGATAATTTTCCGTAATTATCACAAATCTTCACATTTCTTAATTTATATTGCACTATATATATCTTATCTTACCATGTTGTTTAAACAATATTTCTACCAAATCTTCTTACAGAGCTTCTTGAAAACTTACAAACGTTATATCATTATCACAAATATTTTTAATATATTCTGTAAATTTACTCCGGTCCTCAGTGAATCTTTGGTCTCCTCGGTTGCGAGTCCTCCCTGTCAATCTGTCCAGTTCCGCGTAATCCATTAATTTCGATCTCCATTCTTCAATCGTAGGCATTTCTTCTTGTTTCCATTTTTGGGCCAAAAGAGTTCTGGCTGCTGTTACTGCATACAGGAATACTTTCTGATCGTTCCTTTTTATTTCACCACCTAATATTCCTAATAGAAATGCTTCTGGTTTTTTAACAAATGTATATTTCAGTATTTTCTTTATCTCATTATATATCATTTCCCAGAAGCACTTCATTTTTTTACATTCTCACCACATATGATAAAATGTCCCTTCTTTCTCCTTACATTTCCAACATTTATTACTCACCTTATACATCTTACTTAATTTAACTGGTGCTA